TTTTTTTTTTTCTCTTGGCTGTCCATGGAGTATTCAGGACTCTTTTCCAATATCACAACTTAAAAAGATAAATTATTACTCTAATTCTAGTACCGAAAAGCAAAGATGTCAGTCTGGAGACTAAGGTGTGCCTGATACATGCCATGGTCTTTGTAATTACTTGCTATGCATCAGAGAGCTGGACAATGACTAGGGATGATAGAGGGGGAAACTGATGTGAGCTGTGGTGTTGGAGAAGAGTATTGAATATACCATGAACTGCTAAGAGAACAAACAAGTTCATCCTGGAGAGGGTGAAGCTAGGCTGCTCCTTGGAGGCAAGGATTCTGAAGCTTCATCTTTGGACATGTTGCAAGGTGAGATCAGTCCTTGAAAAGGGACGTCATGCTTGGGAGGGTGGAGGAACAGTGCAAGAGATGAAGACCCTCAATTAAATGGATTGATTCAGTGACTGGGGTAATGGAGACAGGTGTGTTGGAGACAGTAAGATTGGCACAGGATAAAGCAGGGTTTAGGGCTGTTGTACGTAAGGTCTCTATGAGTTGCAGGCAACTCGACAGCACGTAACAACAACAACAACAACAACAACAACAACAACGCTAAATCCACTGCACTTCACAAGATCCTCCAGGCCAGCCACATACTGAACCCATCACTCACTTTAGAAGTTGGTTTCTTGCATCTTGGTGGTATTCATGTAAGGGAAGTTTTGGTTTGTTGGTTTCTGTCTGGTTGTGTCATTGGTTTTTTCTCTTCACAGGCAGGTATCAGCTGGCTGGATTTTTGCCCATTTTAGCCAGCAAGGACCCAAGGGCTGAGGGTCTACTGGGTTCATTGTAGTCAACAACATTTATCAATTTATTAAATTTAGTAATGTTAGCATTGACATTAGTTAAGTGGTACAGCACTTTGACTATTTGCTGTACTGAATGACTTGGAGTTGTTGTGATGCTGAACACTGTGTCATAGTTTTGTCAAGTTTTGGAGGAGCTTTCAGATTGATTCAAGTTTGGAAGCAGGAGTGGAATCCTCTTCCTAAACCAGATGCCTCTGGAAACCCTATCAACTCTATCAATAGAAAGAAATTATGTTAATTACTGAACAGAGTTTCGGTCTTTTGTTCATGTCTCCTCTACTTTGTACATCACTCTTTGCCAGTTTGCTGTACTGAGGCAATCTGGGTTTGCTGTGATGCTGAACCATGTGCCATTCGGGTATAAAATACAATCATGGTTTTCCAATGTGGACAGTGTTTGGTGGAGCTCCCAGTTGTAAAACAGGTTTGGAAGCAGTAGTGGCATCCACTTCCTAAACCACATTCCCATGAAAACTCTATGGACTTGGAGAAATGATGATAGTTATGAAAAGGCATTAGGTCTTTTGTTCATGGAATAACTATGAGTCATGCTTGACTCAACGGCAATTAACAACAGCAACAGCAACACTAAATAGATTCATTGAGCAGTGGAATATAGTTTATTTCCATTTTCTTTCTTTGTTCCTTTATTTCCCAATATTAATTATGAGAGTATATGAAATTTTTAACTTTTAAAGTTCTTTTAAGTGATTAAAAAAGACAAATAGGGCATAGTTTAATGAATGTATTTATTTCCCTCTAACCAAAGATCATTTCATGTACCAAAAAAAGTGTTTGGTGTGTCTTCCACTAATATTATCAGACTATAATTAAAATGTGCATACCTGTGGTATAAAAGTAATTAATTGAATAATAAAGTTTATTCTTTAACTAATTTAATAAAAATTTACTATCTGTTGAAGGAAGCTCAGGTGGCCTAGAGATAACTAGGCTGCTGTGCAGGCACGTCAACTCCACCAGTTGCCTGGTGGGAGAAGGATGAGCAATCTCCTGTGTGATTTACAGATGGCCAGCAGTTTAGCTATGACAATACATAGCAACAACAACAACAACAACAACAACAAATAATAATCAGATAGTTTGCTATCAAGTAACTTAAGAAGCCACTTGACAGGGGGTGAAGGGGGAATCCCCAAAGAGAAAACAAAGATTGAGATAGTTAACAGTTTTAGTTTACTTGGCTTCACAGTCAAAACTCTTGGTAACAGCAGCCAGGAAATCGGGAGACGTATTGCATTGGGAAAGTCAGCTGTGAGGGACCTCTCAAGAGTACTGAAGAGCAATGACATAAGGCTGGAGACTAAGGTGCACCCGATCCGAGCTATAGTCTTTGCAATTACGTGCTATGCATCAGAGAGTTGGACATGTGAATAAAGATGTTAGAACGAGAATTGATGCCTTTGAGCTGTGGTGCTGGAGAAGAGTGTTGAATGTACCCTGGACTGCTAGGAGAACAAGCAGGTTTGTCTTGGAGAGGGTGAAGCCAGAATGCTCCTTGGAGTAAAGGATTCTGAAGCTTCGTCTGACATATTTTGGGCATGTTGCAAGGAGGGACTGGTCCTTGGAGAGGGACATCATGTTTGGGAGAGTGGAGGGATGGCACAGGAGAGGAAGACCCTTGATGTGATGGATCAATTCTGTGAGTGGAGTGGTGAGAATGAGTGTGCCTGAGATGGCGAGGTTGGCACAGGATAGAACGTTGTTTAGGGCTCTTGTACATAGGGTCGCTATACGTCGCAAGTGACTTGATGGTACATAACAACAACAACAATTGTTGCGCTGGTTGATGATATTGTGTTGGTGGATGATACTGAGCCTCTCAATAGTCTCTTCCTATAGATGTAGTTTATTTTATTCCCATGTATTCTATTAGCAAGTTTCACTTGTACAATAACCATTTCTGTTGTTGAAAAAATGCATTTTGAATGAATAGGTGGTTGTTCTTGAAAAATTCTATTATGTAATTTCTGGTGGTTCTGTTACTAATGGCGTGCTTTCCAACTACCAATCTTTCTTCTTTGTTTTCAATTTTCACATTGTAACCCTTAGTAATTGTCACTGCATCTTGATTGCAGATTTGGATAATTTCAGATTTCAGAAGTTGGTAAAAATCTTTAATTTCTTAATCTTTGACAGTATTAACTAGAATGTAAATTTGAATAATAATAGTATTAACAGGTCTTCATTGTATGCATATAGATATTATCCTATCACAAAAAGCATTGTCATTCAGCATAGATCTGGAAATATTCTTTTTGAAATGCTACACCATTCCTCTCCGATCTATAATTTCTAACATAGTAAAACAATGTGGTCTAATTAATAATGATCATACCAGTCAATTTCAGCTCACTAATGTCCATCTTCATACATTCCATCCATTTGTGACAACTTCCAGTTTTCCTGGAATTGTGTTTTGTACATTTCACATTTTGATAACTATGGGATTTTTGCAGGTATTCTCATTCTAAATTGTGCCACATTAGCAAAGGAAATTGTTAAGTGCTTTACGTCATGAACATCATGGAGATCAACTCTACATTACGGAGGTATCTTTTCCTCTGTTGTATACTGAATTCTTTCAAATCCCAGAGGCTCAACTTCTGGCATGGTATCAGGCAATGTTCCACGGTTACTCATAATGTTCTCACTGGCCAGCTTGAGATCACCAGGTACTCTTCCCCACCTGTCTGAGAGCTCTTATTGAACTTGTCCACCGTGAGTATCAGGCTTAAAATATCAGTAGCATAGTTTCCAAAATAACAACAGTACACAAGACAACTACAGCATGATAAACTTATAGATACAGATAACACAGCAACTAATTTGGATGTTGAAATTTAAGTAAAAACTTAAACAACAGCATTTAATTTCTGTCAGTTGAGAATCAATTTTATTGTCCAGAAGCAGTTCTTAGATTCTTGAATTTCTTAATAGATGATTCACGACATGGTTGTTTACTTCTTCAGGACCTCTTAGAGAGCATCTCTTTGGCTTTAAATCTTTCTCTTAAGGTATAACTTGTGCTTTCTTTTAAAAGCTTTATCTGATTAAGTAAGGCCCACTCATGAAAATCTCCTTTTTGACTGACTCCAAGTCCATTTATTAGAGACCTTATTAGAAACTTCTCCAGAAATTCTTCACTTGAGCCATCATATTCATAGAGTCCACCCACAATTGAACGAAGTGGATTATAATTTAACA